AATCTGAACTCCCAGGGCCCGTACGTTCAAGAACACTGAGTTTGAAAATACTTATTGTCTTCACTGCATCTATGAAATCCAGAGAGTGGGAACTCACCCCGATTTTTATCACTCTTCGTGGAACAGTGTGAACTCTGTAAGAGCTTTATAGGACCATCGTCCTCTTGGACATTTCCTGATCACAGTTGAGCCTTACATCAACCAAAGCCATCGCAGGAAAAAACATGGCTTTAAACACTTGTCGTTCTGCGCCTGCCTAAATGTGGCATCAAGTTACGTAGTTTGGTACGGTTCGTCTTCCAACAAAAAGATGTGATCGGCAGCCACTGTGGTTGTCTTTTTGTGGGTGGTGTGCATGAATCTGAGTTAAATGTTGAATACATTAGGAGTGCATATTTATCTTGTAGACATATTTGATAACATCATTGTACATTTTATTCAAAGCCAGTGAGTATGAAACGCATCATTGTATAATCTGCTTAGTTTGGTTTGGTTTAGTTTAGTTTACAGGGTGATTCAAAAACAAAACAAAAAAACCAACTGTACAACTTTCTTTGTTAATATTTTCCTCCACACAGAAGTTTTGCGTTTCAAATTTGTACACAACATTTGGAAGTCAAAAGGAATTTGTCTGATATTCATTTTAGATAATTCCACGGAGTAGTTTTGCTCCACATAGCACGTAAAGAAACAACCCATTTTCAGCTATGTCCCCATTTTTGTGACACGATAGTTCGCATTAGGCCTACCACTAAAAATCCCAACGATTGCGCCATATTGCAAACTACAGAAGTATAACTGGCCAACAGAAGTTTGCAGATTATTTTTCTCAAGTTTTCTTTGCCTGCTGAGATCATGGTTAAGATAATAAGTAAAAAGCAGAAGCGTTTTGTATTGAACATTTTGCTCACCACCAACTCATTTCAAGTGTCGCACAAGGCACGGAATGTTGAAGTGCGCTTAAGGCTTTTTTTTATGTCAAGGGTGGAAATGGTGGGGCAGTTAGGACCTGTAGAGAATCAGAACTAAACATTCCCAGACAAAACAACTACATCAGGTCAAACAAAACACCGTTCGCACCCCTTTAAACGTCAAAAGGGTGCAACATTCAGTAGATGGGCCCATTGAGACATCTGTACGTGGACGATGTTTGCACCAATGACTTTCCCACATCTCAAAGGTCTGCATTTTCAAGGCAGATCTTCATCTACGACTGTACCAATTTTCCGTTCGAGAAGCTATCAGAGGATAGCAATATGTTCATGATTCCTCGATCGTCTTGAAAAGCGTGAACTTAACCTCAATGGCATAAAAATTTTGTTCCTTGGCAAAGCCCATATTCACCCTTCAGTTTTATCAACTCCACAAATGCTGTATATTTGGGCACCCCCCCCCCCCCCTCCCTTTCCCCATAGTCTCTGGAAACAGCTCCATTCCGTAAGGTGTAGAGTGCGTATACATGGCTTTGAGAACTCATGGTT